TCAACCCTCCTGGCCCTCGCTACTTCTTACTATATACACCGCTAATACTCATAAACAAAAGCTTTTTTTTTCATACAACTATTTCAGATGATATTAATGATGTCTTGATAATACACGCAGATAATTAGGATGATTAAGGGAGTAAGTAGAGATAATGCTTGCTCATTGGGTCTGGCAACACTGCTGGAGGGTCGACCACGTGGGACGGGGCTGCCAGACGTCACTGCAGACGATGCCAAAAATGTTGGTTATCGTGCAGACCGCTTCCGAGAGAACCCGGCCTTCATTATTGATAACCAGTATTCCACCCAGTGCTTATTAATGCATATAGAAAAGAAGAATCATGAATAATATACTATATATAATGATATATTTTATGTGTCACTTAATAAAAATAGATCGCAAAATGTGGAAGTAATTGTTTGATGCAGTTTGACGTCTGATGCAACACTGATGCAGCGAGAATAAAATCACGGAAAATTGAACATATATAAAAAGCCAAAAATAGTATTAGAAGCAGCCAATAGATAATTTTTTAAAGTATATATGAGAGTATGCGTATACGGAAAAATTATCAGTCTCAAATGAACACAAACAACAAAGGCCATCACCAGACATTTTTTTTTTATTCAAAAGTTTTTAGAGTCTTGTACAGCCAGTAGCACGCGTGGCGTTTCGGGCAGGTCCTTAATTCTAATTTCCCCCGGAATACGACCCGCCAAATCGCTTAACAACAGGTACCCATTCACCGCTGGGTGGACAGAGGCTACAGTTAAGGATTGGCGCCCAGTCAATCCTCTCCGGCCAGGATACGAACCCAGGCCAACAACATCACCATGACAAGGTGACTTAGGAAAGAAGGATAGAAAAGCGTCAGTGAATCTATGCTTTATTTTATTAACAAGCTTATGTACAGACACGCACACTGGTACAGCGTAGTCACACCTGACAACCTCAGTGTCATAATGTACGGGAAGGCGGCCGTGGCCGATGACAGGAATCCATAGCAAGCTAGGATACAATCACCCGTGGAGATTGTGGATGGAAAAAACAGCTGAGCAGCGAAGTTGCAGAATTGCCATGATTTTTTATATTGATCATTTACTGTGCCACCCATCATGATGGGCGGTATTGAAAAAGATTACAGAGGCATGTTCAAGAGATGAATATTATTGAGGGATATCATGTGGACCACTAACTGAGAGATTGTGCCCATCTAAGTGACATTAGTAATTATGTGCAGTGTAATGAACCCCCCACAGTGATTTAGGAAAGCACATTTTGTCACATACAGATGCTCGCCTCAAAAGGTTCCCCAACTTTGCGCTCTTAAGATAACGTGCACTTGAGGATTGTAAATTGTTAAACCCTTGTTTTACAGCGTGTTCACTTGAGACAGTTAAGTAAGTCCCAGATGAGTGACGCTGCCCAATACTGTCACTATGGCGGTATATTCACTCACAGGATGAGTGACGCTGCCCAATACTGTCACTATGGCGGTATATTCACTCACAGGATGAGTGACGCTGCCACTATGACGGTATATTCACTCACAGGATGAGCGGCGATGCCCAATACTGTCACTATGGCGGTGTGTTCACTCACAGAATGAGTGACGCTGCCACTATGACGGTATATTCACTCACAGGATGAGCGGCGATGCCCAATACTGTCACTATGGCGGTGTGTTCACTCACAGGATGAGTGACGCTACCCAATACTGTCACTATGGCGGTATGTTCACTCTAAGACGCTATCATCTATTTTCGTCTGATTTACTTATAAAGTTAATAAAATTTCCAGTAAAATTATACTTATTATGTTCTACATTCTTCGCTAAAATTATAGTAAACAAATATGATTTATTTGTTCTTTACTTACGCTATTTAAGAAGATAAGTGTAGTTCAGGTTAAGCCTCAAGACGGTCACACAGGCTCCTGAGACCTTACACAAGACGCTGCCTTTTACTAGCAGTTACTTCCACCACGGGGAAGGTCTTCCTAGAGGGCCCAGGAGCTGAAGACTGACTACCCTCACTGAGAGTAAGACCTGGTTGGGAGGTAAGCAGGTCGATGACTAAATTAGTTGTTATATTGCCTGTCTTTTATCTATATCAATACAATGTGACATTTGTCTCTGTCTGTCTGTCTGTCTGTCTGTCTGTTTGTGTGGTGTGTGTAGGGATACGGTGGAGATGAAAAGTTCGCGCCCGAGTTTTATCGTTTGTTCCTTATATAATTCAAGAGTTTCCAACACTTAAATAGTGCTGTCTTTTGGGGCCGACCCGGGCACCGCCGGTTACCCCCATCTAGACATGTATATAAAAAAGTTGTTATAATAATAACAATGGCTACATATTGTCTGAAATGGGTTTTGATAGGTCTTGCTGTTTTAATATACAGTATACAATGATTGTGATTCATTGTTATGCTGTCATTATGACTTTAACCTGTAGAAGTTAAGAATGCACTTTAAATTAGTTGTACATTAAATCAATTATAAATGTGCATCCATTGAAGAATACAATTTTAAATATGAATTTGATTTGGTGGGTGAGCGGCAGTTCAATTAAGATATAAATTATGATTCTTGGAAATAAAGCTCATTGAATGAGATGCCAGTAAGTGGTTGAGTGAAGTGTAAAACATAAAGCTAAGCCTGGGTTGTTAATTGGATGGGTGACCATACACATCATTGTGGTTCTTATGCTGTAGAATTTTTAGATTATTTTTTAGAATTTAGAAAGGAAGGGAGGAGAGAGCGTGAGGAGGAAACATAAGGTGCTGAGGACACAAGATGAGCCGAGAAGGGAGAGTAGCAAGTAGCGATCCGCCCACTGGACTATTATCACACGTGTTCACGACATTTTGGGTAAGTATAGAAGCTCATTATTCAAACGACACTAAAATGTATATATACGTTTTGGAACAACGACATCAGTTTTGTGGGGAGAAGTGGCAGCAGCCCCTCTGTGTGCGCACACTTGCACAAGCGCGCGGTTTGTATAGTGTTATCAAAGGTCGATTGATTGATTGATGAAGATTAAGCCACCCAAAAGGTGGCACGGGCATTAATAGGTCGTAAGTGGTGGCCCTTTTGAGCCATCACCAGTATCAATACATGATACTGGAGATCTGTGGAGGTGCAACTGCACCCTGCGTGACGGGAGATGTATCCCGTCCCATCAAAGGTCACATGACGTTCCCATTTAAATCGAGCCCCTTTCCTCTACAACCTCCTATGCCAGGTAAGTCCACTACGGCTCACCAAAGCCCGTGTTCCTTTTTAACTTTTGTCCCGAGTATCTGAATCTAAACAACAACTACAACAAATCTCCAACCGCTGACCAGTCAACATCAATTTCAACTTTTCGTAACACTCCCAAACTCGCTATTTTTAAGATGTGGTCCTGTATGATGTACCCTAACTTCCCAGTTGGTGCGGTCCATGAGTACCCAACTGTCAGCCATCCAGTAAAAATGGATCAAATTTGTATTTATTTATTTGTCTATACAAGAGTTCTTATATTCTTGCACAGCCACTAGCACGCATAGCGTTTCGGGCATGTCGTTAATTAATCATTATTTCCCCGAAATACTACCCGCCAAATCGTTTTACAACCAGATACCCATTTTACTGTTGGGTAAACAGAGGCTACAGTTAAGGATTGGCGCCCAGTAAATTTTCCCCGGCCAGGATACGAACCCAGGCCAAAGCGCTCGCAAAACGCCAGATGAGTGTTTACCACTTCGCCACGGGGACTGCAATTTAGAGTTCACATAGGCTGCTTTGTCCATCAATGCCATAACTTACCTATCTAGACGAATATTTATTAATGTTCATAAGCCCATTACGAGTGGAACCTCGATAGGACTAATCAACACGCTTCCCGTAAACCCCACTCCAACAATGGGGAAAGTAGGATATAAAGTTTTAGTTACTCGTTTCTCTAGTTTCGTTTTCTTCACAAGATTCTCACATAGAAAATGTAATTTATCAATTTACAGCGTAGACATTGATATATGAAGCAATTCTAAGTGATTGCAAATTATAATGGTTCTTCCTTTTATAATCTCAATAGAACGTGCAGTTTACGTGAAGGGTTTTCGTGCGTAAACCGTTTTTCATTCATAAACAGGGGGTTAGATAGGTATATGGAATGGACTTTGGGTCTTTGTTTAGAGGACGGGCTGGTTTATAAATGAAAAACGGTTTACACACGACTCACAACTGATAACGTCCGAACACTTCCGGAACAAGTGCTTCGCTGACGACTTTTGTTCGAACTAGAACACTATAAATGCTTCACCACGTACTACAAATACAAATAATCGCCAACAGAACCTAAACACCTGACCTAACCTAACCTATGCTTGCGAAAAGATACGTGAATTTAGAGACAATTCTATAACCAATGTTCCAGCGATGTGTCAATATTTCATTCAAAATGATCTGCTACCAGAAATTTTAGCCAAATATCCCCAGTTTGCTAACTGTAGGTAGTAACTAAGTGATTGTAACCTATCCACCGCTGCCCACTGGATGGGGGGCGGTGTGCAGGACAAACATATAAATTTTGACACTAGCTCTCCACATATGTCAGTTGCTTAATTTAGAACCTGTACTTGAGGTCGATCTCGAACCCATTGTTGATGTGATGACTTATATTGAATTTTGTAACTAGCTCATCAAGATTGTAACTTGCTTAGCTAAATGAATTGTGGGGTTCAGTCCCTGAGCCCATTATGTGCCTCTGTAACCCTTTCCACTACCGCCCACAAGATGGGTATGGGGTGCATAATAAATGAACTAAACTAAACTATTATAATATTAATTTATATTTGAGAAAATTCCCGTTTTGAATGAACAGCATATAAAAGTTAATGAATGCGTCTGTGGGGTCGACCGCTGGATGTAATGGACTTGAGTCGAGGATGGGTTGTCAAATACAA